TGTGGGTGCTTAATTATTTAAATTTATTAATAACTTCATTTTAGCAGTAGTGTTAATTTATAGTATGATCTAAGAAAGTAGTTTTATAGGTTCCATGGAACTCATATGTAAGCATCTTGAAAGTAAGTATAATCAAAGTAGGCATGTTTGTTTATTTATTTATTTTTAATTTAATTTAATTTAATTTAATTTTTTTTGTACATGCCGCTAGTGGGAACCGAACCCTGGACCCTCTGCTCTGCAGGCCGATGCTCCAACTACTGAGCCAAACTGGCCAGGGCAAAGCAGGCATGTTTAAAAATATTTTTTTATATCAGTAATAAAGTGTTTCTATTTCATTCCACTTCCACATGAGTACTGGGAAATCAGTAGGGTTCTAGAGGTGCAAAGAAGTGGAAAACATAGCTTAAAAGTCCTTTTTAAAATAGAAGTGATGCTATTGTTCACAAGGTTTATTGAAAATGAAGAAAATGATAATCAAGGCTCTTATATCTGCATGTCTGAATATCTAAGGATGATAATTGCAGCAGATAATAGGAAAAATACAATGCATTTAATTCTTTTGTTCTTGAAAATAAAGATATTTTGTTAGTTATTTATACTCAGTATTCTGAGGATCCTCCAGTATTGAGGAAGGCACTGAGGAATTATTGAGAAGTTATTGAACTGGCTGTCATATTTCAGACAGTTGTCTTTGGGTTCATATTCGTTGTAAGAATAGTCTTACACTGTAGTGCTTATCACCTTGGCACATGTGTAGTAGATATTGAGGGGACAGATGGAGAAGCAAAACAGACAAAATGGTTATACTTTTATTTGAAGAGGCAAAGTACTATTTATTGACAGCAGTGTGGCCTATTTTAATTTATCATACTCGTATTCATGAATATGTTGGAGGCCAAATTCTTAAAGGCAGTGTTTTATGGCCTTTTAGAAAACTTTGACATGTCAAGATCACTTGAATGGCTTGTTTCTGATCTTGAAATAGTCCATAGTAAAACATAATGTGAGTTTTAATTTTCTTGTGTGCTTTATTAACATTTTATTCTCTGAAATGACATGACTTTTAGTTTTTAACTTAAAAGATTTTGGTGATGGGTCCCCCATAAAACTTGTCATTCTTATTTCTGTGAAGATATTTGAGTTATTATTGTTAGCTTAAGTCTTCCGTATTTGAGTGAAGATGGAAAGAAAACATCATCAAACTTCGTAACATTTTTCAAACATTTTTATAATTTCTTGGTAAGCAGTTATCAGATGGACTGAGATATCAAATGGAGATGAGATATTAAATTCAGGCTTCTCATTGTTCAAAGATATAATATTCAGCAAATTCAGCTACAGACATTTGTGTAGAAGCATTTGCCTTGCCAGTAAGAGAAATGCATGTTTTAATTTTTTATTGCTTTGCAAATGATCCTCTACTCTATTCTTGAACACTTTTCTTATTTTTGTACTCTATAAATGAATCATGGTTTTGAACTTTTCAACATCAGTAATAAAAGTGAAGTTTGATTGGTTAGTAATAAAGAAGATTCTTTTCATAAAAACAATCATTTTGTCATGGCAATTCCCATTAACTGTAACTGTGTTAGCAAAATAGAAACCATAAAAAGCATTTCATTGTGCTTATACACTTAGCTATGCTTTTGTGCTGATCATATATTTTTATCTCTAAGAACTCTTATAAGCCAAAGAAGCTTCTTCATGACTTAACTTGCCTTTGGATTTTTAAAAAACACTTTTGTTGTATGTAGTTGTATATATTTATCCCAGTGAATACAGTATCCTTAGATATTTTTCCCTTCATGTTATATTTCATTACCCGGTCTAACTAGAGCACTGACTAAAACTTCATACAAATAAATTATATCGTTTTGTTAGCCATGAAGAGGCTGTCATTGTACCAGCATTTATTTCTGTAAGGTAGTATTCACAGATGATGCTTTAGTGATCTGGCCTATTACTGACCTCCTTTTCTTTTTATTAGTTTTTACATTATAGGAAAATATTGCAACATCATGAATTATGAGTAATGTTTTTAATGTTCTTATAAATTAAAAAAATATGTCAATGAAAAATAGTGTAAAAATAAAAGTTACTATATTTTTTCATTGAACATTATTATTGTTATTTTTACTATTCACCTATTTAACATTCTGATTTGGCTAGTGAATGAGAACTAATTATGTACAGTTAACTAAATGGTAATTGATATTTGTTCTTTAGTTGAGATTGTGCATTATTTTTTATGTATTTTCTCCCAAAACAGATTTCTCCTTGCCATTTACTTGTACTGATTTTCCCATAGTGTAACATTTGGTGGCTGTTTGGAGAAGATAAAATAATTTTAATATTAATATTAAAACAAATATTTATAAAGGGAGATACGTTTTAAAATAAATATAAAGTATGTTTTATTATTTAATGTTTTGTATTATCTTTGTCTCATAGGTAAATGACTTTACTAGCCTTTTATAAAAAGATTAGGGTAAGATTAGAATTTAGCTAGTATGATTAAGTCATTTTGCTCTCGGATTCTCTTTTTTTTTTCCTCATTTCCTGAATAACATAACAACTGCCATCAGACCAGAGTTTATGATGGTGGTAAGGCATTGTGGCCACTGGGTTCCAAATTCTGGGGACTAGAGGCCAGGGAGTTGTCGGGTGGTAAGGAAGCTGGAGAGTGAAATTTCAGAAAGGTAAAGTTTCAAGGTAATGGGTTAATAAAATGGAACTGATTGGTGGGTAGGTGGAAATGTAAAAAAATCTATGCCTGAAGCAGTAAAGTGGAATTTATAAATGTAACATAGTCAGGAATCAGTTTGATAATAGATTTAGATGAACAGAGGGAATTCTGAAGTTTCAGATGAATCAGCATTTAATTCTGTCTTTAATGCTAAATCTGTCACTCATAGTAATTGTTAAAATATAACTATTCATACTGTTGTAGTGTATAAACCACATCACAAATTAAGGCTGTAATACATCTGTTTTATTACCTTCATGGATCCTGTGGGTCAGTAAGTCAGATAGGCCACAGGAGGGATGGCTTGTATCTACCTCACAATGTCTGGTTCTTCAGCTGGAAAACCTCAAAGGCTAGAGATGATCCAACTGATGAGGGCTGGAAACATCTGGAAGCATCTTCACTCACATGTCTGAAAATTGATGCTGGCTACGATCTCAGCTGGGGTAGTCTTTTAGAATTTTTACACGTGGCCTGTGAATGTGGCGTGGGCTTCCTCAGAGCCTGGGGCCTGAGGGTAGTGAGACTATTTACTCAGTTCTCCAAAGTATTGGTTCCAAGGTAAGAAGGGATAATAAGCTGCATCACCTTTTATGACCTTGCCTTGGACGTCTTGAAGCAATACTTCTACCATGTTCTATTGGCCACAAGAGAGTTACAAGGGGATTCAAGGGGAGGGGAATTAGACTTCACTTCTTGATGGGGATATGGGAGTTTGGGGAGTTCTAGAAGAGCTTGTGGGACAGATATTGTTGTGGCCATATTTAAGAAATATAGTCTGCTACAGTAACCAAGGTGATGATATACTGGTGCAGAGGGTTCAACTGAGTCTTAAGAGCTGGGAACTGACTAGTCCCATTCATGACCTAATAGAGGTTGTAAATTCGGATGGGGTTAGATGGGAGGTGGCGGTGAGTAGAATAGTGTGTAAGGGTGTAGGGGGTGGTATTGCACATTGCAGTCAGTTGTTTGTGGAGCTCTCTTGCCTTGCATTGTACTTCCTACCCTCATGCACACACTGGCACACACATTCTTTTTTCTTACCAAAGTCCTAGTATATGTGAAGGTTAAGGATAGCTCTAAGGCAAGTATATTTTTAAAACATTTCATAGATGATTGGTACCTCTGGTTAGGAGCATTGGACACTTTGGAGAGAAAGTGAGTTTATGAGTTCATACTGTTAATTTAGTATACATTATTGAGATGTTGTGCCTTAATTTGGTTTGATACCTTTACTTTCAGAACTATGGCAATTTTTTGCTTTCAGGCTTTAGATAGCAAAAGACTTGCTTGCATTTTCTACAGAATACATTTATTTGTTGAGATGAGTACCTACCCCAGCTGGTGGCTTAGTTGGTTGGAGTGTCATCCAATATAACAAAAAGGTTGCGGGTTCAATTTCTGGTCAGGGCACATACCTAGGTTGTGGGTTTGATCCCCAGTCAGGGTGCATACAGGAGGCAACCGATGTTTCTCTCTCTCTCTCTCTCTCAGATCAATAAACATATCCTTGGGTGAGGATTAAAAAAAAAGATTACCTAATTTACGTGCTCTTCTAGGTGCTGGGGTACAAAAATTGGAAACAATTCTTGCCTTTGATAAACTTACATTCTTGTATAGGACACATTTATTGAAGCACGTAATTTCAATATAAAGTGGTGAATCCTATAATAGAAATTCTAATTTAGTGTGCCTTTTCTAAGCATTTTACCGTCTCTCAAACTGAGTTAGGGGTGGTAGTTTTTTAGTGAACATCTCAACTCCTCTCCCTGCCCCTCTACCTTCTAGTCCAGGGGTTTTCAACCTGTGGGTCGCGACCGCTTTGGGGGTCAAATGACCCTTTCACAGGGGTCACCTCAGACATAACAGTAGCAAAATTACAGTTATGAAGTAGCAACGAAAACAATTTTATGGTTGGGGGACACCACAACATGATGAACTGTATTAAAGGGTCACGACATTAGGAAGGTTGAGAACCACTGTTCTAGTCTGTGATACTTGTGATTATTTTTTGGACCCAGTTCAGATTTCATCTTCTCTTGTGCATTCTTTCCTGTTGTCCCCATGCAGAGTTAGTTATTTCTTCAAGAGGATTCCTATAGTGCTGCAAACATACTTCTGGTGTGATGCTTATATTAATAATTATTGAGTACATTCTGTGAGCTAGAGACTGTATATGGCACTTCCATAATTTATCTAATTTTATTCTTCCAACAACCTTACAAGGTAGGTACTATTCCCCCTTTTTACAGATGAGGTAATTGAGACAAGAAGAGATTAAGCAGCTTGGCCACGGTGACTCAAATAATAAGTTGTAGAGTTGGGAGGTATGTCTCACTTCAAAAACTATGTTTTTCCCCTCTACTACCTGCATTCACTTACTGTATTGTAAATGGTTATGTATCTCAGTTCTCTTCTCAACTACCCCATCTCTGGCCCCTGACAGACTCACTAAAAATAGATTCTATATATGTACCCCTATGTTCATAGCAGCACTATTTACAACCACTAAGACCTGGAAACAGCCCAAGTGTCCATCAATAGATGAATGGATAAAAAAGCTGTGGTACATATATACAATGGAATGCTATGCAGCTGTAAGGAAGAAAGATCTTTTATTCTTTGAGACAACATGGAGGGACCTCGAGAGTATTATGCTAAGTGAAATAAGCCAATCAGAGAAAGACAAATACCACATGATCTCACTTATTTGTGGAATATAATGAACAAGGTGGACTGACGAATGAAATAGACCCAGAAACATGGAAAGGAGTATAGTTCAGACTGACAAACCTCAGAGTAGCGGGGTGGGGAAAGGGTGGATGAGATGAACCAAAGAACTTTTATGCATGTATGCATAACCGTATGGACATAGACAACAATGCTGGGGGTGGGGTTGGGAGTAGGGTGTCTAGGAGGGAAAAGGAGAAACATCTGTAACAAAAATAAATTAATAAAAATTGGGAAAAAATAGATTCTAGAGAGCAATGACAATTTCATATTCATCTTTATCTTTTTATTATAGTCTCTGGTACATTTTGGAAGCTTAATAACTTGTCTTTTCAGTTAATGTATATATTTTTCTATGTTTCTGAAGATTTTCTACTCCTGAACTTCTGTTCATAAAGAGATTCTGTGATAACTAGGCTATGTTATTTTCTTGTTTTTTGTTTGTTTGTTCTTGGGGCATTTTGCAGTTCTGCCAGGATTTCAGTACTTGCAATGAGAGATCCAACCCCTTTGTAGAGGATCCTGTGTTTCATGGCTGGCTGGGGGAGTGAGGAAGCAGGAATGGAGAGTTTTTTGGTTATCTAGCTTGCTGCGAGAGAGTGAGTATATGCAAAGTACTTAGAATAGTGGGTAAATAAAAGATAGTTAAAGAAAATAAGTGCTGTTATTACAATGATTGTGTTTGGCTTAGAGTAGTGGGGAGAATTGATCCTTAGTTTGAGGGAAATCTATTTTCCATTTTCTAGGATTAGATTTAGGAACCATTAAATCTTGAAGGTTAACACTGTTAACATTGTTGAGGTTTGATACCTGTGCGGGGCTGTTTTCTCTCTAATTTTTTTTTGCCAGAAATTACACTTGTAATCTTAACCACTTGTTTTTGTATAGTTCTACTATTGATCTCTGTTTCTGAGAAAAGCTCAGACGTGGTGTTAGTGTTTCCTCTTTTGTGAATTCATATTTTGAGTTCTACCTACAAGGTTCATATGTGTTCATAATCACATGTAGTTGACTTGCTTTTTATTGGAAACTAATGAAAAATGTTTTGATTTTTTTAATGGGACAGTCTAAACATAACTATTTGAAATGACACATGAATACTTACGAAGAAAAAATGGAAGGTTTTAAATTTAACTTGTATTCACTTCAGCCAGAGTTATTAGCTTGTTGATGATGTGCATTAGTTTTCTTGATCCTTGTTAACCTCCAGAAGTTTGTCAGTTTTATGAAATTGACCCTTGAATACCATTTTGAAATTGATCTCTAGTTTCACATAGATAGATTTAGGTGACCCATGTTCAAGTCTCATAATTACTAACTTAATTTTACTTTTTTTATTGATTACATTTAATGGAAAAACTATCATTTAGCCACTTTGGTTCCAAAATTAGTGAGGCTTCAGTTCATTAATCTTAAAGGCTTATTCTGGAACACTGTAAAATTGCAACATATTACAAAGACATGTTATAAAACATGGCTTTAAGCCATATCCACAAATACTTGAGTAGAATAAGATGGGCAAAAATAGTCTTGAATCAAATTAATCTAGATAGATCCTCAATACCACATTCTTTGAGGCAACTGAATCAAAGAGGTGAAAAGAACTCAGTTTTATTTCAAGTGCATTCTTTGTCCCGGCTAGGGTCTTTTTTTGTGGTGTTCACTTACTGTCTGCATCAGATTTACTGGGAGTCCTTGTGGCATATTTGGATTCTTGGCCCTCATCTCTACAGTATTCGAATCTCTGAATTTTGGGTTTGGTGGAAGTACACAATTTTATGAAGTTCCTTAGGTGATTCTTCTACTCTAAGGGTTGAAAACAACTGTTGTACGATGATTATAATTGCTTTAATTCTAATAATTAATTATTGCCCAAGAATGTTTATTGTGGGCTTTGTATGATGTTAGCTAATAATAGTTATGTGTTCACTGTCTCTGGAATAAGACTACTTGGGTTCAAACCATGGCTCTTCGCAAATTATGCTTGTGCCTCGATTTTCTTATTGTAAAATAAGGATAATAATAATAATGTATATTTCATAAAGTTGTGAGATGGTAATATGTCAACCACTTAAGTGCTTAGTAAATGCAAGAAGTCTTTTTTTTTTTTTTTTTAATCCTCACCCGAGGACACTTTTTGCACTTATCCTCATATAGAGCAGGAGGGAGAGAGGGAGGAAGAGAGAGAGAGAGAAACGTCGACGTGAGAGAGACACATAGACTGGTTGCCACCCGCACAATCCCAACCCGGTCCCGGGATGAACCACAACTGAGGTACGTGCCCTCAGTGGGAACTGAACCCGGGACTCTCTGGTCCACGGGCCGATGCTCTAAGGGCACGTTCATCAGTTGCAGTTTGTCCTCGGCCTGGTTGGGGTCGTGAAAGTGGTGGCCAGTCAATGTGTCTCTCTCTCTCTTCCTCCCTCTCTCCCTCCCGCTCTATCTGAAGATAAATGCAAAAATGTCCTTGGGTGAGGATTAAAAATAAAATTTACTATTTACCTCAGTTTTACTGAGATATGATTTAAATACCCCTTTTAAGTGTACAATTTAAGGATTTTTAAATATACAGAGTTGTGGTTATTACCACAATTTAATTGTAGAACATTTCCATCACTCCAAAAAATCCCTTGCCTGTTTACAGTCGCTTCTCATCCCCATTCCGAGTCAATCACTAATCTACTTTCTGTCTCTGTGAGATTTGTCTATTCTGAACCTTTCATATAAATGGAATCAAACAATATGTTTTCTTTAGTGTCCCGATTTTTATATTGGGCATGATGTTTTTGAAGCTCATCCGTGTTGTTAGCTTATATCAATACGTACTAGGTTCCATTTTATTGCCAAATAGTATTATATTGTATGGATATACCATATTTTGTTTATTCATTCACTACTTGATGGTCTTTTGTTTCCACTTTTTTACTATTGTGAATAACGCTGCTGTGAACATTCACATACAGGTCTTTGTGTGGATATATGTTTTTTCATTTCTCCTGAGTGAATACCTAGGGTCATATGGTAATTCTGTGTTTAACATTTTAAGAAATTACCAAACTTTTTTTTTTATCCTCACCCGAGGACATTTTTGCATTTATCTTCAGATAGAACAGGAGGGAGAGAGGGAGGAAGAGAGAGAAAGAAACATCGATGTGAGAGAGACACATCGACTGGTTGCCATCCACACAATCCCAACCAGGGCTGGGGACAAACTGCAACCGAGGTACGTGCTCTTAGCGGAAACCGAACCTGGGACTCTCTGGTCTGCGGGTGATGCTCTAACTGCTGAGCTACACTGGCTAGGACAAATTACCAAGCTTTTTATATTTCCATTAGCAATGTGGGTGAGAGTTCCAAATTTTTCACATCCTCTAAACATTTGTTATTTTGTCTTGTTGATATAGCCATTCTAGTGGGTGTGAAATGGTATGTTGTCATTTTGATTTGTATCTCCCTAATGACTAATGATACTGAGTATTTTTTCATGTGCTTGTTGGCCATCATCTTCTTAAATGTATATTCAAACTCTATGCCCATACAAATTTTTTGGGTTATTTGTCTTTTTTGTTATTGATTTGTAAAAGTTCTTTTATATTCTGGAAATAAACTTTATGACTCTTGGGGAATTTTAACTGCTATTACCATCACCACTATCATCATCATCGTCGTCGTCATTATAATCATCATCTGCCTAGACAGAAGTCTAGGTAGTGTTTGACCACAAGAAGATAGATTCTTATTATTCTCTCATTTCATTTGGGTCTCAACATTGAGTTGTGAGGGAGAAGTTCTGCCCTCTTCTATTTCCTGAATTTTCAATCTGTTTTGCTTCTATTTTCTACTTCATGAAAGGCAGGATATTAAAATCCATTTGCCTTGGATATTAATTCTATATCATTCATTCATGTGCTCTCACTTTGGATCATTTTAATTTTTTGTTTACCACTTTGTTAAAAATGAATGGGTGGTTAGGAATATATTGATGAGGGATTTCTGGGATATGATTTATTTGCCATAGGCTCAGTATTATTGGCATTCATTTGACATTATGCAGATCATGCACTGTTGTATGTAATTTTTTATTAGTTTTATGTAGCATATAGACCAAAACAGAATTAAGTCTTGTTATGAGTAGATTAGATATTCTTTATTGTCATAGTCAGATAGACTCCAGTATTTGTCAGTTTTAAATTTGAAACATTATAAAGGCAACAACTATGAAGGTAGACCACACGGTACCACTAAAATCTAAGTACCTTGATTTTTCTTTATAATTTTTTTGTTTTGCTTATCCTAACCCAAGAATATTTTTTCCATTGATTTTTAGAGAGAGTGGAAGGGAAGGAGGGAGGGGGGGAGAGAGAGAAAGAGAGGGTGAGAGAGTCATTGATGTGAGAGAGACACATAGATTGGTTGCCTTCCACTCCCATTCTAACTGGGCCGAGGAACGAACCTGCAACTCAGGTATGTGCCCTTGACGGGGAATCAAATCTGAAACCCTTTGGTGCATGGACTGACACTAACTGCTGAGCCACACTGGCTGAGGCAAATTTCTTTAAAAAAAAAATTTTTTTTTTTATTGATTTTAGAGAGAGAGGAAGTGAGAGAGAGATAGAAACATTGATAAGAGAACATCGACTGACCGCCTGCTGCATGCCCCCCACTGGGGATCAGGCCCACAACCTGGGCATGTGTCCTGACCAGGAATCAAACCGGTGACCTCTTGGTGCCTGGGTCGACACTCAACCACTGAACCATACTGGCTGGACACAGTCTTCTTTATAATTTTATCTTTAGTGCTTAGAATGGTGCCTGGCACAGTCTGTGTGTGTGTGTGTGGGGGGGTGTTGAGTGTGTGCAAATACATACGTATTCTGTGAATACTTATTGAATGAGTGATAAAACAGATTTGTAGAATGTGGTTAAATTTACTTTCTAAAATGAGAACTATATACATACAACTTACTACACATATTTATATACACAAGCAGTAAATAATATACAGTGGATTCTGATGTCAGCAGCAAGTTTCTTCTCTGTAAGGTCTAAACATAACTTGCAGCCAAGGAAATAATTCTGGTGTGAATCTTCTTTCAGAGTCTGAGAATCCCTTTATGTATGCCTTACACTTCTCCAGTCTGTCCCAGAATGTCTACTTCTTGCTTTTGTTTCAGGGCCCTTATTTCAATCTAAGGTAGTTTTCTTTTTTTTTTTTTTTCCAGGGGATTTCAAAATTTTTCTCTTTATTGATTTTTAGAGAGAGAGAGGAGGGGAGGGGGAGAGAGAGGTAGAAACATTGATGAAAGAGAACATTGATCGGCCACCTCCTGCATACCCCTCACTGGGAATTGAGCTCATAACCTGGGTGCGTGCCTTGACTGGGAATCGAACCAGCGACCTCTTGGTGCATGGGTCAACGCTCAACCACTGAGCCACACCTGCTGGACTAAGGTATTTTTCAATCTTTGTATCTGCACTTGCTTGCAGTATATTCTTTTTGTTGTTGTTAATCCTCACCAGAGGATATTTTTTTCATTGATTTTTAGAGAGAGTGGAAGGGAGGGAGGAGCGGTGGGAGAAAGAGAGAGAAAGAAATATTGATGTGAGAGAGACACATCTATTGGTTGCCTCCTACATGTGCCCTAACCGGGGCTGATGATTGAACCTGCAACCCAGGTACGTGCCCTTGACTGGGAATTGGACCCGGGACCATTCGGTGCGTGGGTCAACACTCTAACCACTGAACCATACCAGCCAGGTTGATTGTAGTATATTCTGTAAGTACCTGCTATGATCTGAATTTTTGTTTTCCCCCAAAATTCATTTATGAAATCCTTTTCCCCAAGGCTAATGGTATTAGAAGGTGGGGCCATTGGGAGGTAATTAGGTCCTGAAGGCAGAAGCCCTTATGATCGGGATTAGTGCTCTTATAAAAGAGGACCCAGAGAGCTCCCTTGCCCTGATATCATGTGAGGATACATGAAGAAGTGAGCAGTCAGTGACCCGGAAGAGGACCTTCAACAGATTCTGACCATGCTAATCTTGGAATTTCAGCCTCCAGAACTGTGAGAAATAGATTTCTTTTGTTTATAAGTCACTCAGTTTGTGTATTTTGTTATAAATGGACTAAGACAGTAGAATTAAGCTAATAATTCAAAATGCTGCCTTCCAGTTTTTAAGGTTTATGGAAATGACAGCGTTATACTGCACTTCTCCATTTTTGTTTGTTTGTTTTGTTATCCTCACCCAAAGACATTTTTTAAAAAAATATTTTGTTCAGATAGAGTGGGAGGGAGAGGAAGAGAGAGAGAAACATTGATGTGAAAGGGACACATCGAGTGGTTGCCACCCACACGACCCAACCAGGGCCGGGGACAAACTGAAACCAAGGTACATGCTCTTCGCGGGAACCGAACCCAGGTCTCTCCAGAACGCAGGCCGACGCTCTAACTGCTGAGCCAAACCGGCCAGGGCGCACTTCTCCCTTTTTTATCATGAGCTGTTGAGGTGATGGGAGGTTAGTTTTAATTTTTGTGTGTGTGGAAAGAGTCACTTCCTGCTTACATATCTTGTGTAATATCATTAAACATCCCCTATGAAACAGTAGCTCAGGGACATCACTATTGAATCATATCATTATTAGTGTTATCTGAGATATAGTATTATCTTTGAATTGTACTATAGTTTGCAGGTTGAATTGCTGTTGAAATACATAGCTCTTAAAATTCTAGTTTTGATAAAGTCACATGTCATATTTTAAGTCTAAACATCTTTAAAATCTACTTTAAATGAGACCTTCATATCATAACTGCCTAAAACTTGATGGGTTTTGAAATTAATGTCTGTGTTGATATCACTGAGATCATCAGAATAGTATTTATATCAAACTAGTACATTTATTTCCTTCTCTGTGTCTTGCAGTAACTTGTCCATGTTTAAGAGTTGTCACATCTTTGAGCATTTTGTTATATTAGTAGTATTTATACGTACACCTTTGGCAGAAAGCCATTCAAATTTGGAGATAGGCTGCACATGTTTCTTACTCCTTTTGTATAACACTGTCTACATCATCTTTGGAAACTGAAGAGATGACATCTCTGAGCTTTTGGAATCCAGTTGCCTAAGGATAAACTGGATTTTACTTCATTAGTGCCCAAATGATAGGTTTGTGTAGAGTTATTATAACATTAATCAATTTGATGGATTGGAAATATGACAGTGCTGAAGCAGCATGTGATATTAGTGCCTATTATTCTACAAATTATGTCTTCACCTACATTCATATGCCAGGGGAGGCATGTTGTACATTAAGAATGCAGAATTTAAAAACCAACAACACAGGGCACTTCTTTTCATGGCCTTTCTCTTGTCCTCTTAGGTTAGATCATCCAGAGATGGACTTTGGAGTTAGACTTGTTTATTAGGTCATAGCACCTTCATCCTGACATACCCTGAATTGAATGGAATAGCTAGATCATCCGCTACTACAATGACTTATCAACCAACTTGACACTTGAGAGAGTACTTCAGGTAACATGTAGTCTTTTAAGAGATTTAGGGATAGACATATTCTTAGAATTTATTGGCCAGTAGTCATTTCTTTGAAAATTACAAGGGATTAATAGTGAAGAATATTGATTTTTTTTTGTTATATTGTATTGGTTGATAAAGCTAAAGATAATTAAATGAGAAGAAAATATGTATTTTATTGGGTTGTAGGTGTTTCTTTACCATGTGTACATTTTAAACACTATTTATGCAATATTGATTATCTTACAACTTTCAAAAGTCCAAGCATATAGATCACCTCTCTCTTTTTTAATTTTATTTTTATTTATTTATTTATTTATTTATTTATCCTCACCCGAGGACATTTTTTGTTCCAATAGAGTGGGAAGGAGAGAGAGGAAGAGAGAGAGAGAGAAACATCGACATGAAAGGGACACATCGAGAGGCTGCCACCCGCTCGACCCAACCAGGGCTGGGGTCAAATTGCAATCAAGGTATGTGCCCCCAGTGGGAACCGAACCCAGGTCTCTCTGGACCACAGGCCGACACTCTAACTGCTGAGCCAAACTGGCCAGGGCCCCTCTCTCTTTTTTTAAAAGTTTGTTCTCCAACATAAATGCTATTAGGAATGGAGAAACTTTCTTTGAAAAATTCAAAAACTCTTGTTTGGATTAAAAAAAACCAAAACTCTCTCTTGCCCAGCTGGTGTGGCTCAGTGGATTGAGCATCATCCTGTGGACTGAGAGGTCCCAGTTAGATTCCCAGTCAGGGCATATGACCAGGTTGCAGGCTCCATCCCCAATAGGGGGCGTGCAGGATGCAGCCGATTATTGTTTCTCACATCGATGTTTCTATCTCTTTCTCTCTAAAAAAATCAATAAAAGCGTATTAAGAACAAAAACACCTTCCTATTCCACTGAAGACTGAAACCTTAAGAGGTAGCTCCTTTGCTTCTGTAAAAGAGATACTAAATGTAAAATAATCATTTTGCCTGGGCAAAATTGGACTGTGGGTAAAGGACTAGGTGGGTAAAAGACATTAATAACATTAATTGAATAGAAACTTTGTTATGAAGTGCTGTGATATGCAGGTCATATGCCCTGCCTTGTTTCTAGATGTTCTTTATAGCTATAAAATAGGAATATATTTCTTTTTTATAAAAATGATAAAAACTTTCATGGGTCTTTTGCAAGAGAATAAGAAGTCATTCTAATATATTTTTTTTAATCCTCATCCGAAGATATTTTTCCATTAATTTTCAGATAGAGTGGGAGGGAGGGAGAGAGAGCGGGAGAGAGAGACAGAGAACTATCGAAGTGAGAGATACACACTGATTGGTTGCCTCCCACAAGACCCCAAGCAGGGCTGGCGATCAAACTGTGCCCTTGACCGGAATCGAACCCATGACTCTTTGGTCCGAAGGCCGTCTCTCTAACTGCTGAGCCAAACCAGCCAGGGTGAAATCATTCTAATTTTAAAGAATGAATTAATGTAGCTCACTGAGTACTTTAGAGTAAATTATTGCTTTGGTATTAAAATGATGTAGTAGTTTCTTATTGTGAAGAATACATTTCTGAAAAATGGGTAATTTTACTTTTGAACTTTTGTAATAAAAATATTAGCTTTAATGATACTTATACCAAAAAATTTGTGTTGCATAATTTGAATTTTATATTTTGACATGTGTTATTATAAATGCCACATTTAGTTTGAAGCAATTGAGAAACCAAGTCTCTAATAAATAATCTTGGGACCATAGGAATTTTTCACATTCTAGGAACTTACTGCCTGGAAAGGGAGATAAGAATTGACATAATAATAGAATAGAGTGGAAAGTAATATATGATCTAAGACAAATGCAAACTGCTATGGACAGTATAGATAAAGGAGAAGTTAGATTTGTTTAGTTACAACAGCCTTCTTGATGGAGGTAGCCTTTTAACTTGGTCTTGAGAAAGGTATAGGATTTAAGTTTGTGCTGCTGAAGGAGTATTCTGGACAGGGGAATAATTTGGGAATGTGAGAAAGTATGAAATGTATGGGGGAAATTTTAGGTGCTCTCATAGGATATGAGGGTTCTGTTGTTAGGTAGATAAGGTAGGCAGATATCCCTTCCTATTCATTTGTGTTCTTTTCAAGCCTTTTCTGTAGTTAAAAAATGATTTTGCTAAAATGGAGGAGTACTCTTCTTTTTTTTTTTTCTTTTTTTCCAAATCTTTATTGTTGGATGTAAAATGTATTACAGATGTTCCACATTTTTCCCCATTGACCCCCCTCCTCCCCACTCCCGCCCCCTTCCCACCTTTTCCCACACTATTGTCTGTGTCCATTGGTTATGCATATAAGTTCTTTGGTTTATTTCTTCCTACCCCCCAACCCCTTTCCCTTTGAGGTTTGTCAGTCTAGCAATGAATTTGTGCTTCTTAATCCCTTCACCTTTTTCACCCATTCCCCCAACCCCCTTCCCAACTGGCAACCAACAAAATGTTCTCTGTATCTATGAGAATGTTTCTGTTCTTCCTGTTCATTTTGTTTGTAGATTCCATTGTTGATAGATATGTATTCATTGCCATTTTGTTTGTTCATACATTTTATCTTTTTCTTCAAAAAGACCCTTCATCATTTCATATAATAACGGTTTGGTGGTGATGAACTCCTTTAACTTTTTCTTGTCTGGGAAAGTTTTTGTATGTCCATCGATTCTAAATGACAGCTTTGCAGGATAGAGTAATGTTGGTTGTAGGTTCTTGGTTTTCATCACTCTGAATATTTCTTGCCACTCCCTTCTGGCCTGCAAAGTTTCTTTTGAGAAATCAGCTGACAGCCTAATGGGTACTCCCTTGTAGGTAACTAGCTGCCTTTCTCTTGCTGCTTTTAATATTCTCTCTTTGTCTTGAAACTTTTGCATTTTGATGATGATGTGTCTTGGTGTGTGCCTCTTGGGGTTCATCTTGTTTGGGACTCTCTGTGCTTCCTGGACTTGTATGTCTGTTTCCTTTACCAAGTTAGGAAAGTTTTCTGCCATTATTGTTTCAAACAGGTTTTCGATTTCTTGTTCTTGCTCTTCTCCTTCTGGCACCCCCAGGATGCGAATGTTGGCACGCTTGAAGTTATCCCAGAGGCTCCTTACTCTATCCTCATTTTTTTGGATTCTTTTTTCTTTTTGCTGTTCTGATTGGGGATTTTTTGCTTCCTTATATTCCAAATCGATGGTTTGCTCCTTGGGTCTACATACTCTATAATTGAAGCTGTGTAAATTATTCTTTATTTCAGTTAATGCCTCCTTTAATTCTAACTGTGTATCCATGATTTCTAACTGGTACTTTTTTATGCTCTTGAGGCCCTCCCTAAGTTCACTGAGGTTCTCACTAAGTTCATTGAGCATCCTTATAAGCAGTATTTTGAACTCAGTATCTGTTAGGTTGCTTATCTCCCTTTCGCTTAGTTCTTTTATTGGGGTTTTGTTCTGTTCTTTCATTTGGGACCTGTTTCCTTGTATCCTCATTTTGGCTGCCTCCCTGTGTTTGTTTCTGTGTATTACTTAATGAGAAGTATGGGGCTCGCTGAGACCTGGTGCTGCTCGTTTGAAAGAATTAGGAAAAACCTGAAGCAGGATCCAAGAGAGGCCAATCCTATGGTTAAGCAAGTGGCAACAGCTTGAAAGTTGTGTGGGGCGGGGCGGGGCCTCAGGGAGTCAGCAGGGCGGGGCTACCAGTGTGAGCCAGGTTGCTGGAGTCCCAGATATGGTGGCTGTCTGCCGCCCCCAGGAAGGGCTCACCAAAGGAACAAAGGCCTCTGACAGCACGTTTGTCCCCGAGGAAGCCCCCTCTCCAGCGCTCGCTCCAGTGCCAAACAGCTCAGTTCTTCCCTGTATGTCTCTGGTGCCCCTTGAGCTGCCTCCCCTCCAAGCTTAGAGGGAGAGAGTCCGATAAGTCCGTGCGCGGGCCCTTTAGGGAGCTGCCTGGGGTTCCAGCCGCTTCAGCTTCCCTGAGCCTCAGTTTCCGCTGGTTTTTCCAGCCAGAAGTTATGGGGATTCTCTTCCTGGCACTGGAACCCTGAACGGGGCACCTGGTGTGGGACGGGGACCCCTCAGTCCTCAGGGAGGACCTTCCCAGCCACGGGATCCTCCTGATTTTTATCCACCACACTTGGGTGTGGGACCAGCCCCTCTCGCCGCTGCGCCCGTCCTACCGATCTGGATGTAGCTGCTTTTTTTTTCCCCTTAGTTCCGTAGTTGTACGACTTCCTTTCAGCTTGATTTCAGGCGGTTTTGAATGATGGTTGTTCTTTAGTTTAGTTGTAACTTTGATGTGGTTGTGGGAGGACGCGATACCGCGTTTACCTACGCCACCATCTTGACCGGAAGTCGAGGAGTACTCTTCTTTATTCAAGGTACATGAATGGCTAGATTTTCTGCTAAAATTTCAAAAAGGTAGTTATTTAACTAGAGCAGTGTTTTCCAAAGTGGGGTGGGGTAAATACACCCTGTGTTATAGAAGACAGTCCTTTGAAATACAGAAAGAAATGATTGGAACTTGGATTTCAAGTTTTTAAAACTCTACTTTTATAGCGTATGTTTTATAATGTAAATGATTTATTTATTTATTTATTTACCATCATCCGAGGACATTTTTTTTTTTTTACATTTATCTTCAGATAGAGCGGGAGGGAGAGAGAGAGGAAGAGAGAGAGAAGCATCGATGTGAGAGAGAGACATCGACTGGCTGCCATCCACACAACTCCAACCAGGACCGGGGACAAACTGCAACCAAGGTATGTGCCCTTCCTTAGCAGGAACCGAACCTGGAACTCTCTGGTCCGCGGGCCCACGCTCTAACCACTGAGCCAAACCGGCCAGGGCCTAAGTGATTTATTTATTAGCTCAGAAATGCCAACCATGTGATTTCTAAATCTGTTTGGGCCTGCATGCTCAAATATTTTACTGATGGGCACCAAAGATTTAAAAAGTGGTGATCCCTGGGTTGGATATAGAATGTGGAAAGGGGATTAGTAAGATTACT